ATTCACAGACAGCCTATTACTAATTTTCTTATGACCACTTATTGGGCCCTGGGGGAATAAGTAGGAATGTTACAATTCCTGCCCTTAGGAATTATGTTGTATGAGAGACGGACAAGTAAACAAAAATGATACAATGTTAATATTACAATAGTTACTAGGTCCAGTGGTGGCACAAAGAAAAGACTAATTTATCCTACTAGGACTTAAGGAAAACTAGGGAAGATAACACTAAGGAGATGATATTTAACCTGAGTCTTTAAAAATGCAACGTTCATTAATTCATTGAAAAAACATTTACTTGGCAGCTCTTTTTCCTAGACATTTACTAGGCATGGTATTTATCAGAGCCATAACCGATTGCTCCACCCCAGCCATCACTGGAGCAGCAGCACTGGAAAGGTGATTTTTGCTTCACACGATCCTGCCACCTGACTACATAGTTAGGCTTCTCACCTACAGGGACCAATCCATAGACTGGACAGCAACTTAAGATGTAGCTTGGCAAGAAAAGCTGAAGCAGTGTGGAAAGTGAAGGGATTTATTTTTTTCCAAGTTTACCAAGCAAGTAAGTGGCAGAGCTAGGATTAGAACCTAGCACTATGTCATCTTTTTTATGGCATACACCTCCTTACTCCCTAGAAGCCCATGAGAGTGAGCACTTCACAGACCCGACACCCAGCACTGAAGTCTTGGAAGGTTCTGCTTGGTGCCCTTTCCGCAGCCCTTTCATCTGTCAGATGACAGATCTTTCTAGATCTGTTCCCTTGGCTGATAAAGCCAGCCCTCTGTATAGCTAAGAAGGATGTTTGATGAAATTCAGACTGTTTCTCTAGTGATGCAGTCCTTTTTTTTTTTTTTTTTTTTTTTTTTGGTCAACTGTGAGACAGCTCCAGTGGGTGTTGAATTCAGTGTGGGTGTAATAATTATTCCTAAGTGAGTTGTCGCCAATAAAGAGAACTTAGTATAAACTTCTTAAGAAATAAAGGTATCTATCAGTGACATTATTAAACTTTTAAGAAAACCTGCTAATACATAGCTCCTACTTTTTTGAACCTGGTACACATGGTCAATGATGGAAATATGTAGAGTTTGAAGAGAAGCTGTTTTTCCACATGACGCTGTACTTAGTCCTGTGTCTTAATCAATTAAAGCCTCTCAGTCAGTTTGTAGGTAGCACAGCCCTCAAGCTGCCCACTCTTAATTTCTTCTAGCCTGAGTGGTTAAGACAAGAAGTTGGCAATGTGCTAGGTGTGTACCTTTCTTCTCCATAATTTGAGTTCAGTCATCTCAAAGCAAATATAAAGTCCTTTCAGAAACCTGAATCTCAGAAGCTTGCTTTTGCAGCATGCCATGGTACTATATTTACTCTGGATTCACAGATTCATTCTTCCCTTGCTGAGTATGTGCCAGGAGTTGTGCTGGGGATACAGCACAGACATTCTTACAGTCCAGGTACAGTTGGAAGAAATAAGACATACACATACAGTGAGGATGTAGAAGTTGCAAATTGGCACGAATCTATCTGGAGACATGTTTTGTTTGACTCAGTAATTTTAACATTTACTTTAGTTACCAAGGTTTATTCATTTTCTTTCATGAAAATGAAGATTTCTAGCTGTTTTGAAAGAATGGGAAGAACTGACACGACGAGAACAACACTTACAAATTAAAATAACTGAGTACAATGGAATAGCACTGCCTTCTCCAACAGATAATGTGCTCTCTGATTCTTCAATTGCTATTATCTTGTAGGCCACTTTATTCCTTTACTTTTCCTGCCTACCTTTCTTAAGGAGTTTGCATTTGTGAACCTGCAATGCAATATTAGTAAATACTATACTATGTGTGAAGAATATAGTATAGGAGGCTGTGGGAACATAGAGGAAATGTTCCAAGCCCATAAGAGACACAGATATGTTCTAGAACAAGGCCCAGTCCTGAAGAATGGAAGGAAAGGAACCATAGGAGATAGTCTGAGGACCACCTTCCAAGGCTCAGCAGGTCCAAAGGCCTAGAGGTGACAGAAAAACACTACAGGTAATTCTGTTCAGGTGGAATAGTAGAGAGACAGTTTGGGACAGGGAGTATGCAGCTGGAGACAAAGCAGAGGCATGAAGAGCCTTCAGGACAGGGGTTTTGACTTTATCCTGGGATGAGTAGTGATCCACTGAAAAAGCCTGAGCAGAGGAATTGGTGTGGTCAGATCGGCTCATCCAGAGGCTAATGCCATACTTGAGGAGGGTTGACGGTGGCTGTATCAGCATAGAAGCAGTATAAGAAGAAGACTAAGAAATATGAAGGAAGAGGAATCTAAAGGACTTGATGGCTACTTTTGTATGAGGGATGAGGAAGGAATCCAATGTGACAAACAGGTTTCTGGCTCTGACTGCTGGGTGCATGCTAGACCACTTAGCATGAGTAGTGATCCAATGAAAGGGTCTGAGCAGGGGAATGCTAGACCACTTACTAAGAACAACAGACTCCTGTGATGAAAGTCACCTGGGGAAGGAACAGGAGGCCTGGGTTCTAGCCTCAGCTTCACCACTAACTCAGTCTCTCTGGGCCTGCGTATTCATTTGTAAATGAAGGTGCCACACTGAAGTGCCCTTTATGCCCCCTTCCAAGCCTTTATAAAAAGATCATTTTTTCCCACTTCAGTGAAAAAGTGCAGAATCAGATACAGAAAAACTAAAATTCTCCTATTCCCCAGAACGTGAAAATTCAGGGTAAAAGCAATTTTTAAAGTTGAGCGCAACCCCAATACAATACTTGAATTCCTTAGCAACAACCTTTTCAGGAGCTTGTTCAACCTCGGCTCAAACACATCTATCCTGGATAATTCTACATACCCTAGCGCAGCTTGTTCAAGTCTTACACAGCTTTAAAAAATGTTTTCTGCTACTCAGCCAAAGGTAGACTAAGTGCATGTCTACCTTTGGTGGAAAAAGTGCTACATTTTGCATTTTTCTTTTTTTTTCCCCCTTAGTCTTCAGAACAGGAATACATTTTGCCTTTTTAAGACAGGATCAAGTCCTGGCTTTATCCCTTAGGAGACACCATCTCAAAGCCTGTTTCCTTACATGGAAAATGAGGGCTAACTTGGAGGATTTTTATAAAAAGGGGTACTTACCTGAAAAATATCCAGCATTTTCTTCCCTTAGAAGGCTTTCTATAATTACAGCACGATGGGCTCAGGCAGCAGCCATGGTTCTTCATGTTTTTGTCTAGGCTCCAACCCAGCAACTGTCGTCAAGTGTTCATGTCAGGGCTGTGGTACAATTACACTTCAGAGGTGCAAAAACAGGTGAGCATACTAGAAAAACTCAGCTTCCTGGAGCTAATCATTCTTTTCCTAGTTCCTCTTTAGCACCCATGACCTCCTGGAAATAGACTGCTTGGGTTCAGATCCCAGATCTGTCATTTACTAGTTGTGTGACCTAGGACAAGTTACTTATTTCTCTCAACTTCAACTGCCTTATTTATAAAATGAAAATAACAATACCTAGAGAGTTAATTAGTTCATGTAAAGAGCTTACAACACTGCCAGGTACATGTAAGTACATTAAACCAAAAGTCAAAACATGCTTGAATTTAAATTCCAGCTCCACGTCTAATTGTATTATCTTGGCCAGGCGTGATGGCTCATGCCTGTAATCTAAGCACTTTGGAGGCCAAGGCAGGCGGATCACCTGAGGTTGGGAGTTCAAGACCAGCCTGACCAATGTGGTGAAACCCCGTCTTAAAAATAAATAAATAAATAAATAATTGTATTATCTTGCTATTATTTTTATAAGCTTGTCAAGTGCTAAATATGATCCAGACTGGCTGCAGGTTCAGATTCTACCAATCGTTATTTAATCCATCCTATACAACAACCACTGAGGTCTAATTATCTGTTTCACAGATGAGGAAACTGAGTCTAAGAGAGCTGATGATTTGAAGGCCTTTTCCCATATACTTCCCCTGAGGTGGTATAGCTTAGACCTTTGGGATCTTCTTGGATGTGAATGAATACAGGCTTTACTATTTATAGTTTTCCCACCAGTGACTTAGTCTCTAAGCCTCATTTGGCTATCGTGAAGATTAAATGACAGGTAAAGTACATAGTACAGGCAGTGCCAAAGATTAAACTCTCTGGAGCACTGACTGTTATTATATCACACCTGGAATCTTTTTTTTTTTTTTTTTTAAACAGAGATGTGGTCTCACTATGTTGCCCAGGGTGGTCTTGAACTCCTGGGCTCAAGCAATCCTCCTGCCTCATGTAATCCCAAAGTGCTGGGATTACAGGTATGAGCCACAGCCCCCATACCTCTACCTAAACTTTAACTCACATGCAGCAACGTGTCAGAGATACTGCATGACTTTATTTCTTGTACTGGATCCCTATTTCCCATAGTCCTGATTTCTTTTCTAAAATATAGCTCTTCTATATTATTTTTTTAAAGCCATAGAGGTCTTAAGAATATAGCCAGGCGTGGTGGCCAGCACCTGTAATCGCAGCTACTCAGGAGGCTGAGGCAGAATCACTTGAACCCAGGAGGCAGAGGTTGCAGTGAGCCGAGATAGTACCATTGGACTCCAGCTCAGGCAACAGTGCGAGACTCTTGACTTTAAAAAAAAAAAAAAAAAAAAAGGTCTTAAGACAGGCAAGATCAAGAATTGCCTTGAAAGATGGACATGATTCATTCTCCAGCTATTCAGTCAGTCCTTGGCCCAGCTACTGCCTGCGTGAGGGAAGAGGCTTCTTAGCAAGATACTGCATGTTTAAGGTCCTTCAGCAACTTATCAATGGTAAAAAAGTACAGCTGTTAAATCTGCTTTGGAGGTGCCCTAACACACCATCACTTTAAGAAATAAGACTATAGCTCAAATAACCAGTTATCAGGAGGCAGCTGGATCTTTGTGTTTCACACCTGAGGAATAGCATGTAAGCATGTGGTATAAAAGCTGAAGCTACAGCCACATACATTTCTTTATAGACCAGGAACTAGAACAGCTTGGTGTTTTCTCAACTTTATTATGGAGGGGGGAGGGGAAGTAGACTTGAAGGTTTTTTTTATTTTTTAATGCAAAAACAATTTATCCTGTGTTTGATACCAGATGAGACTGTAAGGGTCACATACTCCTTACGCCTACACATCGATCCCAGGTGAAGTGCTTCAGGTTTGGCTCATTCTGACACCAAAGAAACGGCCCTCTGGGCCAAGGTTGGAAAGACTGCTTTTGCCTCAGCGCCGTGCAGGTTTGGGCATTATATAAACTTTTACAGGCTTGCTGAAGGGAATGGTGCCCTCGATGCTGGTTTCCACCTGGGGCGATACCTCACCACCCTCCATCCAGGGGCATTTTGGAATGCGAGCACTGGAGTTGTAGGACAGCAGCAGCCTCACTTCTACCTGACATGGCTCTGAAAAAAAGACAAAAGAAATCCTCTATGACTTGGCAACTGCTGGGAATGAGGATGAAATGTGAAGTTAAAGAAACATCAAAATGGAAGCAGTAGGGAAAACATTTCTTCATCCATCCAGATCCCTCCCCTTACCCTCACCAAACAAAACACTTTCTCAGGCAAAATCCTGGGGGGCTGACACTGAGCTTGCAGATGTGATGCTACTCCGTCACCTTCTCCTCGGGCTCACTGTGGCGCAGAGCCATAGCTGCTGAGACAACTGGAGAGCAAGCTAAAAACCCTTCTAGGAAGATTAATTACTTCATGAACTGCTTTATGAACTGGGTTCAAATTCTTATGCAGGTGTGGATTTGGGTGGTCTCAGAACCTTTGAGAGTCTCAAGACTTCCAGCCTCAGGACAGAGGATCAGCAGGTGCATGCTGCTTATTCTCATACCCAAGTGGGCTCTTCCTGTGCAGTTTGATATCAAGCCTCACGGCTGCATGTACCACAGACAACACTTTATTAGTGGAGAGGAAGCCTTTGAATAGCAAACAGTTCACCAAAAATTTCTGGCCAATGAACAGGAACATGTTTCAGGGACCTAAAATCATGTCCGAAAACATTTCATTCTTTCATTACATTATATTACAACATAACATAATCATATAGTGTCTGTATGTGGCAGGTCCTAGCAAGAATAAATAAGAACTCTCCTCAAGTTGACGGCTATTTGGTTAAGGAAACAGACAGTTGCAATGGAATACAGTATAAGAAGTACTGAGGAGGGAGTGCAACAAGGTTTTGGAATAGACTATCCACTCTATGCCAAGCACATAACCCCAAAAGTTCTTATCCTGCTACATTATGAAACAAATACTGTCACAATCTTGGCAAAAGTCCCAAGACTCAGAGAGGTTCTCAGAGACTGCTCAAATCCACACCTGGGTAAGAATTTGAGCCCAGTTCATAAACTGAAAGTTACTCTTTCTATTAACCACATGCTTCTATAAAGAAGGGGAAGATAATTTCAGAAAAATGTAAGGGCAAGTGCAAAGGCCAGGAACAGAGTGAGGTTGAGATGTCTCCTTAATTTGGTGTAACCAGAGCAAAAGGTGTAAGTGTGGAAGATGATCCCAACGCTAAGAAGTTCAGAGGGTAGAAATGAGGGCTAGATGGATCTAAATTAATAAGGGCAGAGACTCCAGGACTTCTCAGTGCCTCCCCAGACCTCTTCCTGGTTACATCCAGACTTCTCTCTATGGGTCAGAGAAGAGACTGGATTGCTGTCCTCCAGGAAGGGAAAGACTTACAGTCAGAGCAATCCAGAGGCCAAGAGCAATCCAAGACCAGAGCAATCCAGTGTACCTCAAATTTCAGCATGAGATCTAAGTGCAGCCTCAGCCATCAGCAAGTACCAGCCATGTGGTAAGCACACACTCACCTGACATGAGGGCCATGCAGCAGCCTTGAGTGTAACTGTCATGAAACTAACACTGTTCTCTGATACCAGGCTCCAGATGAATCTCCCACTCAGGGTGGAATTGAGATAGGTACCCATATCTGCTTTCCTGCCACACTCTGCCATTCAGTCCCAGGTGGCAGAACACAATCACAGCCCCAGTTCACAGAGCACTTTCAAAAAGCCAAATCTTGGTAAGAACCGGGCACAGTGGCTCAAGCCTATAATCCCAACTCTTTGTGAGGCCAATGCAGGACAATTGCTTGATCTCAGGAGTTTGAAACTAGCCTGGGCAACATAGTAAGACCCCATTTCTACAAAAAATAAATAAATAAATTAGACAGGCACATAGTCTCCGTTATTAGGGGGGCTGAGGCGGGAGGACCACTTGAGCCCGAGAGGAGTGCACCACTGCACTCCAGCCTGGGCAACAGAGGAAGACCCTGTCTCAAAAAAACACCAAATAAATCCTGTTAAGGTCAGAGGGAGCTGACGTCAGACTCAGCCGTACAGGATCATTTTGCATTCCCTTACCAATATTTGATAAGAGTGGCAATCCAAGGCAATGCCTTAGGAGGAAAGCAGAGTAGAGAGAAAATGAGAGGGAGGGGAACTTGCGAGAAAGAGACAAGATCATCTAGGATAACCCATACACCTTATAGAATATATTTCCAGGAGTTTTACATTCTTATTCTCATCTTAAAGACAATGAGACAGACAGGTAAAATAACTTTCTCAGGATTACACAGCAAAGGAGGCAGAATTTGAAATATGGTCTGTGACTCAGCTCCCTACGTGGCAGCATCCTGCCTCCCAGAGGAGAGGTCCTTCCCTGCTGGGGAGCTGCTCAGGGACTGAAGGAGCTCCCTAAAAACTCCAGGCCCCATCTCCTGGATGAAGAGAAAGAAAGTGCAAGCTTATTTACAATGAGACACACTGCACTTGAGTGTCCCAAACTGGAAGGGAGGTAGCACAGTAAGGGAAGGCTGAGTGCCAGCTTCAGCATTATCACTGATCAGCTACATGGGCCTCCATTTATGTATCTGTAAAATGAAGAAGAGAATACTAATTCCCACTGCAGAGTTGGTGTAAAGATTAAATGAATTTTTATTGCACATTTAAAACCTTGTATTCAATTTTCATTATTTGTTGAGTGTCTACTACATGTCAGGCACTAGAGACATAGGCTACTGAAGCACTGGAGATACAGAGGCAAAGACAAGCAGGTTCCCTGCTCTATAGGAGCCTACGTCCTACTGGGAAAGTCAGTAAATAATTAAATGTGAAAACACATCTGACACCAATAAGTGCTACACATAAAGAATTAAAACAGAGATTTGTAATAGTGACTGGGTCGCAACCACTCAGAGGAGGTGATCTTGTTTGGTTTTTGATTTTTTTTTTTTTTTTGAGTCAGGGTCTCACTCTGTTACCCAGGCTGGAGCATAGTGGTGTGATCAGGGCTCCCTGGAGCCTTGACCAACTCCCAGACTCAAGCAATTCTCCTGCCTCGGCCTCCTGTGTCCATGCCACCATGCCCAGTTAACTTTTTTATATATACTATAGAGATAGGGTTTCCCTATATTACCCTCACTGGTCTCAAGCTCTTGGACCCAAATAATCCTCCCACCTCAGCCTCCCAAAGATTATAGATACAAGCCACCATACCTGGCTATGATCTTGTATAAGTTAAAATTCTTCAGGCTCAGGATAGCCTGGCAATATCAAACAAGGAAGTCTGCCATGAACTAATATACCTTAAGAGAAAATGGGACCTAGGAGAAAGAACTCTGAGCATGAGGGCAGATCAGCTGAGTTCTAGCTCTGGCCTTGGCAGTGACTTGTTGTGTGACCAGGGACAAGTCAGTACCCTCTGAAGATTTTCCACATTCTTTTGAGCTACAGCATACTGTAATTTGCTTCCCTGAGCCTTGTCCCTCCCAAAACAGTGTTGTACCACAGCATTTTCTTCTCCATATCCAGGATCCCTTCCTCAGAAGATATTAGAATAAGGAATCTACTTTTCTGTGGGGCCAGTAGTTTGGCTAATAGTGCAAAACATTCCAGGCAGCCAGATTATGGATGAGGGATGCTCAGGGAAGCACATCCTGGGTAGCAGAACTGCCAGATGCTCCCTCAACTACACCAGGCCTAGTGCCACTAGAACCTGAAAGGGGCTGCCCTAATATCCAACAACTTTATAAAGTCATCAGTACCCATCTAACACCCTGACAGAGGGAAACCACTAATAATGGCCTTATAGGCCAGGCACAGTGGCTCAGATGGGTGGATCACTTGAGGTCAGGAGTTCGAGACCAGCCTGGCCAAATTAGCCAGGTGTGGTGGTATGGGCCTGTAATCCCAGCTACCCAGGAGGCTGAAGCAGGATAATCACCTGAACCCAGGAGGCAGAGGATGCAATGAGCTGAGCTCATACCACTGCACTCCAGCCTGGGGTGGAACAAGACTCAGTCTCAAAATAAAAATAAAATAATAATAATAATAATGGCCTTATAATTCTGTGTTTAAAAACTGAGAAAGAAAATTCCAAAAGCTATTCCCTATCTCTAAAATAAAACAAATTTGGTGACACTAAACACCTCCAGTAACAACAGTGCTCCTGGATCATCTTCAATTATTTGGGAAACACCACTGAGGCCAATTCTGCCCCCTTTTCTAGGTTCTGCAGACTGAGCTCTTTTTAAGTTTTCTAAAGTAGGCTTACAAACTTGAAATGTAATCTCCTTTGCACTTGTATTCTCCCATTTTATTCCTATGGATTAAAAATCCTCACAATTCAGACATATAAGTTGGAGAATGAAAAAAAATTTTTTTTTAATCCTTACAACTAATTTGTAGATTGAGAATTATCATTGTAATTTTGAAGCTGAGAAAAAAGAAAGGGAGAGACTTGTCCAAGGTGACAAAGCAAGTCAGTGGCAGAGTTAGGATAAGAATATAGTCTCCTTGTGTCCAGACCAGGGCCCTTTCCATGAGACTCCATTCTATCAGAATTGCCTGTATATCTTCTAACAGAATCTTATCGCTCATGCATGCGATCAAAGCACTGTAGCAAATTAGCCCAAATATACCCAGTTTGAGCTTATAAACTCATTGAGGAATCAAGTTCAATTCTTAGTAGGCCTGATCCATGTATTTTTTTCAAACTTTAAAAACCAAGCGCTTAAGGGTAGGTGTGATCTCCAGCAGCGTATTTTCCTGCACACTCTGGCCCTGACTCCTTACCTGTCCAAGCAGTGTGGGAGAGGTAAACCTGAGTGATGAGTCGGTGCCGCCCTGGGCCAGGATTCCGGAAGTCTGCAGGCTTGGGGTGAATCAACTGAGCCTGGCCATCTGGATATAAGACCTAAAGGGTGACAGAAATGAGAAAAAGAGGCAGAAGGGAGAGGAGTGTTTAACAAAAAAGATGATGACATCTGTTGTGAACCTCAAAACACAAGAAAGATGACACCAACTTTCCTAAGACTGCGCCTTGAGGGGAGGTCAACACTGTAGACGTTTCTATTCCCCTGCTCCAGCAAGAAGTAGTGTTCAGTAAACATTTCCTGAATTCATGGTGAATAAGTAATATGAACACAGTGTTTCTATTAAGCGCAAGGAGAGGTAAGAATATGAATTCTGACTATGAAAAGTGTTCTCTGGAAGCTTCACCAGAGGAGCACTCCTTCCCTGGCTGAATCATATCATGGCTCATCATCCATCACCAACCAACGGTATTTGGAGTTATTTTGCAACTGCATTCTCTCCACTAGATTTGAAGCAGCTAGGAAGTCATGTATCTGTTTCTTTCTACAGAGAGAATGCTCAGTGAAGAGTCCACTGAAATACATTGGCCGGTTCTTCAAGTCTCACAAGCTGCGAGAGTTCTTTCCTTAGCATCCTGGGGGACCTCCCAGTTCCCTGCGTAGACAGCCTACCACACCGTAGCGTACAAAGGAACTAGAGGAACAAATTAAGCTTATCCTAGGACCAGAACCTGCTCTATGTAAATATACTTGTGAAGGCAGAGTAGGGAACCACACAGGTCTTTCAATGTTGAAACTGTGGAAGGCATGTCCCACCCACTTAACTTATAATCCTTCATCTCTCCTGAGGTCACAGGGCCTCCCCTTGATTCTGCTCTTCTTTTTTTTAAGACAGGATCTTACTCTGTCACCCAGGCTGGAGTGCAATGGTATGATTATAACTCACTGAAGCCTCAAACTCCGGGCACAAGTGATCTTCCTGCCTCAGCCTCCTGAATAGTGGGGATTACAGGCATGTGCCACCACGCCAGGTAATTTTCTTTTTAAACTTTTTTGTAGAGACAGGATCTTGCTATTTTGCCCAGGCTGGTGTCTAACTCCTGACCTCAAGTGATCCTCCTGTGTCAGCCTCCCAAAGTGTTGGGATTACTGGCATGAGCAACTGGGCCTGGCCTACCCTTATTTCTTTTTGTTTCTTTTTTGAGACAGAGGCTTGATCTGTCGCCCAAACTGGAGTGCAGTGGTGCAATCTCATCTCACTGCAACCTCTGTCTCCTGGGTTCAAGTGATTCTCCTGCCTCAGCCTCCCGAGTAGCTGGGATTATAGGCGCTCAGCATAATGCCTGGCTTATTTTTATATCTTTAGTAGAGATGGGGTTTCACCATGTTAGTCAGGTTGGTCTTGAACTCCTGACCTCAGGTGATCCTCCTACCTCAGTGTTGTGATTACAGGCATGAGCCACTGTGCCCGGCCTACTCTTATTTTTTCAAGCTGCTACTTCCCACTCTAGTTCTAGGCTCCAAGCTCCCAAGCCTGCTATAGCAGAAAGATGCAGATGTCTCCATTTCTTGATCCTTATTATCTTTAAAGACAAGTGCTTGGGTTTCTTTTCTTTTTTTTTTTTTTTTAGAAAGAAGGGCAGGGCTGGGAAAAATGCCTCACAACTATAATCTCAGCACTTTGTGAGGCTGAGCCGGGTGGACCACTTGAGGTCAGGAGTTCAAGACCAACCTGGTCAACATGGTGAAACCCCTTCTCTACTAAAAATACAAATATTAGCTGGGCATTGTGGCATTTGCCTGTAGTCCCAGCTACTTGGGAGGGTAAAGCAGGAGAATCACTTGAACCTGAGGCAGAGGTTGCAGTGAGCCAAGATCGCTGCCACTGCACTCCAGCCTGAGTGACAGAGTGAGATTCTGTTTCTAAAAAAAAAAAAAAGACAAAGACAAGGACAAAGATAAGAAAGAAAGACGAAAGAAAAACAGAAAGACAGAAAGAAAGAGAAAAAGAGGGGGAGAAAGAGGGAGGGAGGGAGGAAGGAAGGAAGGAAGGAAAGAAGGAAGAAAGGAGATAAAGAGAGAGAGATAAAGAGAGAGAGAGAGAGAGAAGGGTAGAGGTGGAAATAGCAATGATCATGGGAAAAAAACAGATGAAAAGGGGCCATAATTTCTGTGTTCAGCAGGATCTGTGGCTCATACCTATAATCCCAACACTTTGCGGGGTGAGGTGGGAGGATTGTTTGAAGCCAGGAGTTTAAGACCAGACTGCATCGTGGTGCGCATCTGTAGTCCCAGCTACTCGGAAGACTGAGGCAGGAGAATTGCTTGAACCCAGGAGGTGGAGGTTGCGGTGAGCCGAGATCGTGCCATTGCACTCCAGTCTGGGTAACAACAGCAAAACTCCGTCTCAAAAAAAAAAAAAAAAGACCAGACTGGACAAAAAAGTGAGACCCCATCCCCACACAATTAAAATTAGCCAGGTGTGGTGGTATGTAACTCTAGTCCCAGCTACTCAGGAGGCTGAGGCAGGAGGATCCCCTGGACATAGGAGTTTTACAGTGAGCTGACCATGCCACTACATTCCAGCCCAGGCAACAGACAGAGACCTTGTTTCAAAAAAAAAAAAAAAAAAAAAAAAAAAAAAAAAACTCCCCCATTCTCAGCAAAACTGTCCTTGGTGAAAGGCCTTGACTCCTCTGTGAAATGGTTGCTGGAAGCCTTCTTTCATTTGTCTACCACAAAAGTGGAGCTTAGAAATCTGTGGCCCAAGTAGCTCAGCGGAAGGAAATGACCAGTATGAATTATCATCAGATAGAATACAGTAAATACAGTAACCTAGATTAGGCTTACGAACATGTTAACGAATAGAGTTCTGCAGGGCCTGCTTTAAAGAACAGATATACAGTATTTTAATGGAGAATGTAATCTCAGTGTCATCTCTGGGGCATGTTTACTACTATATCTCTATCCAGCACCTGAAGTAATGCCTGAAACAAAGGAATGATTCAGCGTGTGGTGACTGGACTGCATGGCACTTTCGAACCACTGGACCTGTCCCACAATGGGGCAGTGAGTTTCCTGTCCCTCTACCTATAAGGTATCTAAAAGGTTTGGCCCTGCATGTGGTAGAGGTGCTTTGAAGGGGGTTTTTTAGGAGACAGTCTAGGAGACGACCCTTAAATAACCTGCCTGCAATCTTCTTTATGCTCAATTGGTCAATGAAGTTTTTTTCAGGGACAACATAAAACAGTAGTTCTGCTAGCATCACTGACTACACATTAGAGTCACCTATGAGCTCTTAAAATAAACACTAGTGTCCATGGGCCCTACTCTCAGAATTTTGATTTAATTGATGTAGGCTGAGACCTATTCACCTGTTTTTAATGCTTTCTGAGTAATCCTAAAGTGCAGTGAAGGTGAACTACCACTAATGTGAGAAAAAAAAAATACTGCAATATGACTTCACAGCTAGCTCAGAACTAGTTCTCTGCAGATTTCATAATTTATAATAATTCCTGCTGGGAAGCCAGAAGACCCATTCCTCTACTGTCACCATAGCCAAAAAGCATTATCTTCAAGGCCTGATTCATCCTTACCTCCTCCAGGAAGCCTTCCCGGCCTGCTCCAGACTAATTTTCTGTCCCCTTATTGTACTTCCTGCCAGTACTTGCATCCCTGCTTTGACTTATATCTCTTTGGCCCAGAATACCCCCTTATACCCTTCTCCTTTCCTTCCTGAGCCTCCACCACACTCCAAATTGAGTACTCTGAACTTATCCTGTGCATATCTACCCACCAAACTCTGTTTTATAATTGCCTGCCCATTTGTATGTCTCTCAATGAAACTGCAGGCACCCCGAGAACAAGAACTGTGACATATTTACTTTGGCAACCACGGCACTTAGCATGTGCAATAGAGTAAGCACAATTGCATAGATGAATGGAAGGAAGATGAATGAATGGCCAGATGGATGAATGAAGGGGTAGTACTCTTTGTAGGGCTTAACTGCACTGTCTGAATTGTTTAGTCTCTGCTACATTTCTCACATGTCTCTATTATCTAACTTGGGAAAGAATATTTCCTAGTGATCACCTTTTCCCAACCATAAATTTTATCTGTCAGTTGACTGACTCACAGCCTGAAAATAACTTGTTTATTAGTTTTCTGCAACAAAAGACCCAGTCTTAGCATCACATTGTAAGGTTAGAAAAGGTCTTATCATGTAATGAACGCTTACTGGGTGCTGGGGGCTTTAAATGCATTATTTCTTCTCAATGTCAACTCCTCCTATTTGTCAGTTGCAGAATCTGAAACTCAGAGTTTTAAGTAACTTGCTCCAAACCAGCCTCAGCAGTAGTTGAGATTTAAGCCTAGATTCTTTCCCACAGAGGCCCATTTCTTCTCCTGTCTCAGTTTCTGTCCTTCAGGTAGAGACTACAGGAGTGCCGACATTAAATACTTCAATACAAGGTCCATGAGGACCAAAGCTCCAAGAGGACCCAAACCCGACAGACCTGGATCTTCACAGTGTTCTGAGGGTCCTGCACATGTTCCAGGGTTGCATCAACATCCAGGGCCACCACTAACCCGGATGTAAACCGCAAAGGGTTGTCTGACTCGCCTGCTGGCTCGATGATGGTGGCTGAGGCTTTGTGGATCTGTAAGCAAGAAGAAAATACCATGATTCTAAAGTCAGGTCATTCCTGGATAAAAAAACACAATCTTTGATCTTCTCTCTCCTTATCTAATGAGTGGGCATGTGGGAGCCACTCAGAAAAGAGCCTAACCCAGTTACTCCATTGGTCAAAGAAGATCACCAAGGTGAAGATTTTTGACTGTCTGGACAGATTTGGCCTATAGGGGCCAAATAGACCCTGACCTGCTCTGGAAGTGGGAGATGCAGGAAGGCACTCTGCCGCAGCGTGGTCTGTAGAATTTTGACCACTTCTGCAGGTTTGGATGTCATGAGTCGGGGCATAAGGTCAAGAAGTTTGTCCACAAAGCTGTCCTGCAAGTGCGGCAAATCAGTGATGAAATACCTAGAGGAACAAACAGAAGCAATTTACTCATTCAACTGTGCACTCATTCACCACAGGCTGGGCCCCAGCCCAACTACGAAGCAGAAGGAACGATGAAGTGAGAGGAGTTTGCAGTTCATGATCAAGACAGACCTATATCATTATGCCTAAGTCACATGATCACAAAAGAAATGCCGCTGTTTACTCATAACCATTATGTGCCAAACATAATCTTCAGTATGTTACATGATCTTATTTAACTCCCAGCAATCCTATGCATTATTAGAATTTTTATTTTCGTACTATAGACTCATTAATTATTTTAACAAATACGAAGTGGCAGAAACACTGAAACTCAGAGAGGATGATGCTGTACCAAGGCTCAGAAAAGAAAGTTACTCCTGGCTTGGACTGATCCAACTTCTGCCTTGTGCAAGGGGATAGACAAAAGATATCTCAATGAGGAGGCAGTATCTGTGCAGAAACTCAAAGGATGAATTAGGAACAACAGACAAAGTACTTTGGGGATTCAGAGCTGTCATCTTCCCAAAAAAACTCTTTAATCCAACTGTGCGAAAACAGACTCTCTACCTTAAAGAATCTAAAGTCAAAAGTAAGGCATGAACTTATTTCAGATTTAAATCTAGGACCTTTTTTTTTTTGAGACGGAGTCTTACACTATTGCCCAGGCTGGAATGCAATGGCATGATCTCGGCTCACAGGGACCTCTGCCTCAAGTGATTCTCCTACCTCAGCTTCCTGAGTAGCTGGGATTACAGGTGCCCACTGCCATGCCCAGCTAATTTTTTGCATTTTTTAGTGGAGATGGGGTTTCACTATGTTGGCCAGGCTAGTCTCAAACTCCTGACTTCCTGATCCACCCACCTCGGCCTCCCAAAGTGCTGGGATTACAGGCATGAGCCACTGTGCCAGGCCTCCAAACTAGAATTTTAAAAGACCAAGCTAGACTGTACCATTTGCTAGACAGCATTACCTGCTGGTGAAGGTAGTGCTGCAACTCAGCCCTTTAAGAAGCCATCATCACCCAAATGACAAGTACAGAGTCATAAAATCCTCAGGTTTGAAAAAAAAAAAATCCTCAGGTTTGGTGAACTTCATGAGGGCAGAGACAATGAGTGGAAGAAATGAAACAGACTTCATCAGTGCTTTAAGATCCTCTGTCTTCTCCCAGTATAATTTGGCTGCATACCACAGGTCTGGTCATTCCCTGGGCTCCTATTTCTTCATCAGGCTTTCCATTCAACTACTGCATGTGCTGTTAACCAATTCATTCCATATACAACTCTGAAAAAATATATGTATTCTACAAGATAAAATTTACCTGCAGAATTGCAGAACAATTGTTTGCATATTTTAGAGAAATATGCAAGTGTAACAACAGTGTGGGCCTGGCACAGTGGTTCAGACCTATAATCCCAATACTTTGGGAGGCAGAGGCAGGAGGATGTCTTGAAGCCAGGGATTCAAGACTAGCCTAAGCAACACAGCAAGACCCCATCTCTAAAAAAAAATATTAAAAATTACCCAGGCGTGTTGGCACATGCCTGTTACTCAGGAGTCTGAGGTGGGAAGATAGCTTTAGCCCAGGAGTTCAAGGGTGCAGTGAGCTCTGATTTCGCCACTGCACTCCAGCCTGGGTGACCGAGTAAGACACTGTCTCTAAAAATAATAATGAGGTCAGACACAGTAATGGCTCATGCCTGTAATTCCAGCTCTTTGGGAGGCTAAGGCAGGCAGGTCACTTGAAGTCAAAGAGTTCGAGAACTGCCTGACCAACATGATGAAACCCCGTCTATACTAAAAATACAAAAATTAGCTGGGGGTGGTGGCAAGCACCTGTAGTCCCAACTTCTTGGGAGGTTGAGGCAGGAGAGTCACTTGAACCCAGCAGACGGAGGTTGCAGTGAGCCAAGATCACACCACTGCACTCCAGCATGGGCGACAGAGTGAGACTCCTTCTCAAAAAAAATAAAAATAAAAATAAATAATAAAGAGCAGTGTAAGCAAACAGTGGTGAAAAAAACAGATGACTAATGATTTTTTTCAACAAACGTATTTACAAGTTTTCTTCATATTACTTGTCTTTTTATGGCTCTAGCTAAGTGCTAAATCCAAGTGATTCCTGGTAGGTTTAGTTTTGAAGCTCTAACTTCAAAGAAGTTTCTATAACATTAAGGAAAAAAAACAAATTAGGGCACATGGCCAGAATGATAGCTTGGCTGCACAGGCTAAACTGAGGAATGTGATTTCTGATTGCTTCTATTGCCTGCCCGTGCTATTCTCTGTGGAACCAAGATTTAATAAGCCAGAAGAGATATAAAATACTTACCTCTGAAAAAAGTCCACTTCCTGTAAAAATTTTTCACACATCCCAAATAAGGGGTCAAGTCTGTAGAAAAGAAATGTAAAATAATTTGCTTGTGAAATCTTCAAACTGAGAAGTGAGGACCAAAAGTCCCAGAAACCTGAGCCTAAATTAAAGGAAAATTGGCATATTACACTATAAAAATGATCTCTAAAAGTAAGAGAGGACTCCTAATGGACCTGGGGGTAATACCTGTCAGGATCCCAAGACCTGATTAAACTACTGCAGTGCCCATTAAGCTCAAAGAACATTAAAAATCAGACTATCACAGGCTACACTTGGCACTAGACTCACTATGAATACAGGAGAGAAGCATAGCATGCAGGCACTACAGTGTCAAGTTCCCATTCTGCAGGAGTCCTTACAACAGTCCATACATCTACCTGGGAGCTTTATTCCCAACACTGACAGCTCATGTGCAAGGAGATGAGCTCTAAATCAGGTAGGTGTAGAGGCCATACTAGCTGAGATGCCTCATGCACCATAGGTGCTAATATCTCTTTTTTTGTTGTTTGTTTAGAGACAGGGTCTCAGTCTGTCACCTAGGCTGGAGTGCAGTGGTGTTATCATGGCTCACTACAGCCTCAACCTCCTGAGCTCAAGCAATCTTCCCATCCTGGCCTCCTGAGTAGCAGGAGGGGACAAAGTTTTGTTACTACTTTGCCCACAAACACAGATGATGCTCCTTCTTCTCTATCTTGATTTCTTTGGCCTCACAGTACTTGAGAACATTTCATTTCAGTAAAAAGTTATTGCCGGGCGCAGTGGCTCAAGCCTGTAATCCCAGCACTTTGGGAGCTGAGGCAGGTGGATCACGCGGTCAAGAGATCGAGACCATCCTGATCAACACGGTGAAACCCCGTCTGAGTAGCCGGGACTATAAGAATACACCACTATGCCAAGATAAACTTCTTAAATTTTTTGTAGAGGTGGTGGTCTCACTGTATTATCCAGGCTGGTCTCAAACTCCTGGGCTCAAGCAGTCCTCCTACCTCAACCTCCTAAAGTGTTGGGATTACAGACATGGGCCACCATAGCTGGCCTGCTAATATCTCTTGAAACAACTCCATAGGCATAGCTTCCAGCGACCCGACAAATGATCTATCCAGTTTCAAGAATCACTGTACTCAGTGAAGCCCATAGCCATTGTATCTGCATCTGGAAACCATTTATATTTCCTTCTGGTCTACATGCAATTTACTCAGAGATCATTTTTTCCATAGTGGTATAGCCTATTAATGTTGACACTATAAGGGCTCCAAGAAACATACCTAAAAAGTTAACTAAACTTAAAAAAAAATTTTTTTTTAAATGCTAATCAGTAACCTCCGTGAGAGTTAACAGGATTTAAACCTACTGCACTGACAAACTGCTACAAAACCAGCAGATGAGATTAGAAGCTATATAGCAGGAAAAAAAAAAAGAAAAAAATAGTAGCGAAGCACACTTGGAAATAAAACATATAATGAAATCAAACTCAATAATCCATGAACAGTGGAATCAACAACATTGTAAACTGAAATGATAAACTAAAAGAGCATATTAAGGAATTTACTCAGAATATAGAATAGAAAAACAAAGAAAATGAAATTACAAAATAAAAGGTATAGGAAAAATAGATCAAGAAAATCCAACATCCAGTATGCAAGACTAGTGTATAGAAGAAGTAAGTAAAGAAATAATGGAGGAAAAAAATCCCTGAGCTAAAAACAGTTGATACTTCAAACTGCCACCAAAGATCAGCAAGAATATTGAAAGAAAACACATATCTAGACATATCCTGGTGAAATTAAAGAGAGAAAGAAAATTTTAAAGGTTTGAGCATGAAAAATAAGCTGTAGGGAAGAGAACGAGACTCACAGAAGACATTCAACTATAACATTAAATACTAAAAGGGAACATAACAGGGAGTCTCTATTAACCTATTCTGATTTGGGAGCATTCCCAATACAATAAATAAAGGCACCATAGCAATATAAAAATATTGGAAAAGAATTCCATTTATGTATGAGAGCCAAGGAATTTAAAAAGCAACTGTGATACATAAAGAACAGTGGTAGCAAAGTTGGAACTAAACTTATAAAGATTATAAGTGATGGCTCACGCCTGTAATCCTAGCACTTTGGGAAGCTGAGGTGGGAGGATCTTTGAGCTCAGGAATTCAAGACCGGCCTGAGCAACATAGTGAAACCATGTCTCTATTATTTTTAAAAATAAAAAATATTTTATATAAAAAATTTAAAAAAGTATATATAAGGACTATGTATTTATAACCTTATAAAGATTATATAGTTATAAACTTATAAAAATATAAGCTACATTATAAAAACATAATCAACTGAAACAAACTTTCAAATTTTTTTTTTTTTTTTTTGAGACAGAGTTTCACTCTTGTTACCCAGGCTGGAGTGCAATGGCGCGATCTCGGCTCACCGCAACCTCCGCCTCCTAGGTTCAGGCAATTCTCCTGCCTCAGCCTCCTGAGTAGCTGGGACTACCGGCACGCGCCACCATGCCCAGCTAATTCTTTGTAGTTTTAGTAGAGACGGGGTTTCACCATGTTGACCAGGATGGTCTCGATCTCTTGACCTCGTGATCCACCCGCCTCGGCCTCCCAAAGTGCTGGGATTACAGGCGTGAGCCACCGCGCCCGGCCAAACTTTCAAATTATTATTGAGAGATGGGGTCCTGCTCTGTTGCCCAAGTTGGAGTGCAATGGCACGATCTTTTTTAAAAAAAAAAAATATAGATGCCATCACACACATCTTTGTTTATTTCAATTATAACTGGCACATAGTAGGAATTAAACATTTGTTAAATGATTATATATATCTTTAAGATTAAATCACTCCCTGACTTTATAAAGTCACTATCAAGATAAGTGAAGAAATAAAATATTTTGTTTCTCAGGATGTTCTTTCTGACCTAGTATGCTTCAGTGTTTAAACATTCATATTTATATCTCTACGCCACATTTTTGTTGACATAGCTACTGGACTGAGCATCAAACATTTCTGCGAGCTGGCAGTGAGTCACCTAAGTACTTTTTTGTATCAAATCTATGATGCCATCATTCTTAAGATGCACCTTTATTTTATGAAATAGTAAGAAACAAAAAACACTATGGCACCCCATCAAAATATTTGATTTCAGTGAACTTACAATAATATGTGCATCTTGAAATCCATGAAATGTGGCAGTTCCAGTTATCTGAAAGTCTTACAGCTTTACAGTCTTACACTGAACTCTTATTACGTATCAAGTACCATGCTAAGTGTTTTTACATGTATTCTCTCATTTATTCTTCACAGGAATGCCATAAGATAGATGTTGTCTTCATTTTCATTTTGAACAGGGAAACAAGGTACAAAAAGGTTTAAAAACCTGTTCATAACCAAACAACTAGTAAGTAAAAAAGACAGGATTTGAATAAAATAGTCTGACTTCCCAGTATATCCTCTAGTTTATGCTTACTGCCTGAGAAAAAGATTATTAGTCCCTTCAGAACAGAAAAATTGGTCCCCGGCACTAAATTCGTAAGGAAATCTATCAAGTAGGAGGATACAAAATGTCCTTTTTGCCAGTTAAAGTCCTGTGTTGTGCTATATGCAATGGAGAGTCACCAGAGGGTTTTTAGCAAGGGAGAGACACAATTGGATTTCCAACAAATCTGATGCAACAAAAGAATTTGTAATATCTGAAAAAAAAATAGGTCACACATTCCTTAGCTAGTCTTTTCTAAATCTCATTTTACTTATCATTAACTTTGGTGTGATGTCTGAATGCATTTGAAGCATCTTTGAAAGGAACATGCCACATCTTTTGGCCAACCCCACATCTTACCCTCGTGTAGTTCGTGCTGTTACTATAAGTTGCAAAGCTTTGGCCTGTAGCCTCATGTGATGTATAATCACCACCTGCTTATTCTCCACACCACTGTACATGAACTCCATTTTGTAGGTCTCTTCCATAATCTATAAAGAAAAGGTAATTAATAATCAATAAAAGTATCAGTCTTACTTGAGAGCAGCATAGATTTCTACTGTTAAATAACCTTAGGTGAAACTCTGAACTGAGATTTTACATCCCTATGCTTTTAAGTGTTGAAAGAAATTAGTATAGTATGCCTTGTGAAGAGCGAATAAATTATTTTGCCTATTTAAAAAGAAGACTGACCTGGTAATAAAATCATCTCAGTTGATGATGTGAAGATAAGAAAATTTAATCACTTAAGCAAACTGCAAAGCACTGAAAGCACTGCTTGTTACCCTAAACTAAACTCACTCTGCCATGGGAACAAATTAATATATATTATATATGGAAACCCAATCCCCAGGAAATCCTCAAGAATTAAACATCAGGAACTATTAACCATATGTTAGTTATCCTGATAGACTGCTCTGTGGGCTTGGTCTGAGAGAGTTTGGGAAGGAAATAAGTGCAAGAAAACATTGTCTATGACCCCAGATCAAGTTCCCGATCTTGCTCAGCTTTATCCAAATAAGCTACTTTCATAAAAACGATTCTTCTCTTTCCCTTCTGTGCTTGCCTCTCTGTGAACACTCTGGGGTTAGAGAAACGACTCCAGACTCTCTTATAACTGGCAATGAGACAAATTAAATTACATGAATGTCTCAATCCCTTTCTGTAAACGGGGAAGAAATAGCACCAACATCATGAAGTTTAAAGTATCAAATGGGGCATGCAAGATGCTTATCACAGTATCTGTGATATACAGCAATGGTAACTTCTTTCCTCTTTTCCTTCCAAATTATTGCTCCCTGGTCCCATCTTTCCAGTGTGGCTCAATTACTGGGTTCTAGTCATTAAATTCTACTCTTCTACAATAAGCCACATACCAGGTCTGAGAGAGAGTCTGGATCAGACAAGAGTCGGTACTGTAGTAGAAAACAGATTCTGGGTATCAGAGGATCTGGTCTCCAGTCCTGATTGTATTACCTATAGCTCTATGAATTTAACCTTGCTGAGCTTTAACTGCCTCATCTCTAAAATAGAATTAGTACTTATTCCTATCAAATGAGATTATTATGAGGGGTAATTAAGCTAACAGACTTGAAATTATTTAGTGAACTGTAACAATCACTGTCATCATCATTAGCTTCCTCCTGGGTCATTTACAGACTTCCTATTTGGAAGACTTGACCTGCAAGAGATCACCAAGTCTCAATACTTAGATGCAAAAGGGAACTACTCAAAGCTGAAAGGAAATAAACTATAGGCAAAAAATTTAAAGCCTGCTTAATGAACTACCCAGAAATGTAAGGACCTTTTAGCACTGAAGTGATGGTACAGGCTAAAGATATAAACAATCTTAATTGAGTTCAGCTACATTTTCAGATAAAAGATTCATGATGGTAGAGACAGGGTTTCACCATGTTGGCCAGGCTGGTCTCAAACTCCTCACTTCAAGTAATGTGTCCGCCTCAGTCTCCCAGAGTGCTGGGATTACATGAGTGAGCCACCATGCCTGGCCCAACTGCCATATTTTATAGAAGAGGAAAAATCCAGGGAAGTTAAGTAACTTGCTCAATGTCACTCAGCAAATCTGAGGCAGATCTGGGACTTGAACCCAGGTCCCCTGACTCCAAAGTGAGTGCTGTGTCCCCCAGTTATGCTCCTTCTCATATCACTAACTTCTGTCATAGCCTAAAATGAGGGAGGCCACACAAAGGTATAGAGCTATAGGAAGGCCTCTGGCTCTGCCTTGGACTGGACAATTCCTGGACAGAGACCTATTTGAAAGGAAGGTCTGAATAGCTTACCTGTTTCGCTGCTGCTGAGGCCAAATCACTCTGCTTCAAATACAAAGGCGCTGCCACATTCCACAACTTTTCCTGCAAGGCCTACACAGACAAATCAGGAGGGAACAGAACATAGAGGTCACAAAGACTGGCATATCATCTGGGATTTACATTTTTGTTTTCCTTTGAAAGTCTACCATGAACAGGACTTCTTCTCAATTAATCTTATTCTTTTAACCCAATAAGCTGTATCTGTTATGGAGAGAGATGAGACCAATGGTTTGGGCTAAATGAATTCCTGCCCATTTGATCCAATTTCTAGCCCAAAGGCCCTGTGTCCCAGATCAGTGCTTCTGGAAGCAGAGTACAGGAGCCATGAATCCTTCACCAGAATGTGCCGACAAGCCAGCTTCTGGGCTCTAGGCACTCCTTCCCAGAGCCACTGGGCTAACCTGAACCACCTAGATCCTTCTTCCTTGACTGTGGTTCTTTTTTCCTTTCCCCTATGCTCATTATGTTATGAATAACACCTGCCCCCAAACACTTTACAAATATATTCAACTAAAAATCAGGCAACATTCCTAGATTTCTCCGTCTTTCAATCACTCTACATTTAAAACATCACTAAGAGCCACAATCTTACCTTTCATCTCTCTCCTCACCTATCCATCCACATGACCTCATCTCTTGCATAACTATTACCTTGTAATTTATTTGGAAATTAAGTATGGCTTAAGGAGATGCGTTTGAGTGCCAAGTTGACACGGGGTGAACTTACGGACCTAATTTTAGGTATCAACTTGACTAGATTAAGGAATACCAGAAACCTGGTAAAACATTATTTTGTTTTACACAGTCAGGGTGTGTCTGTGAGGGTATTTCCAGAGGTTAGTGTGTAAATCTGAGTGTACTAGACGGAGACCATCTGCCCTCAGTGTTGGCGGGTACCATCCAATCAGCCAGTGGCCAGGAGGGAACAAATACAAAAGACAAAATGGGCAGGGCAAAATGGCTCATGCCTGTAATCCCAGCACTTTGGGAGGCTGAGGTGGGTCGATCACCTGAGGTCAGGAGTTCCAGATCAGCCTGACTAACAGGGCAAAACCCTGTCTCTACTAAAAATACAAAAATTAGCCAGGTGTGGTGGTGCACGCCTGTAATTCCAGCTACTTGGGAGGCTGAGACAGGAGAATCGCTTGAACCGAAGAAGAGATTGCAGCAGTGAGCTGAGATCACGCCACTGCATTCCAGCCTGGGTAACGGAGTGAGACTCTGTCTCAAAGAAAAAAAAAAAGACAAAATGGCAAAATGGATTCTCTGGGTTCTGCTGCTTGGATATCAGAAATTTGACTCCATGAAAGTGCATCAACACAATACTGACTGTGTATAAGCATTGAGTGTGTACATAAAACGTCACTTCCTCAATAAAGAGATATCTTTTACATACATCTACATTTGTAAAAGATGAAATTTCTTGAGATCTCAGCTCTTTGGGTGACTGCATATGCAGTGGTGACCCATCATGGTTTTGATCAATCTTGTCAAAAGACTTAAGGTTGTTGGGCACAGTATTTCAGATGACCACAGTTAAAAAGCTGTGTATATACAATTAACAACCATAGTGGGGAGAAAAAAAAAAAAAAAAAAAAAAAAACCATAGTGATACGCATTTATACCTTTCCCCTTATGACCAATTTCTTTATAAATATGGTTCATATGCCCATAACTGTTATACCCACCCAACTGTCATTAGTAACCTGAATGTTTATGCCCGCAAAAATGTGTGTTATTATTGTCTGTTTTATAAGGTGGTATATATTGTTGTGTTTTTATGTTTCTCAAATAAATTCCTCCTTAAAAACATAAATAAATGTCTTTAAATTTTTTATTTTATTTGTTATTTTTTTTTTGAGACAGAGTCTTGCACTGTCGCCCAGGCCGTAGTGCAGTGGTGCAATCTCAGCTCACTGCAATCTCCACCTTCTGGGTTCAAGCAATTCTCCTGACTCAGCCTCCCAAGTAGCTGGGACTACAGGTGTGTGCCACCATGCCCAGCTAATTTTTTTGTATTTTTAGTAGAGATGGGGTTTCACCACATTGGCCAGGATGGTCTTAATCTCCTGACCTCGTGATCTGCCCGCCCTGGCCTCCCAAAGTGCTGGGATTACAGGCATGAGCTACCACACCTGGCCTTTAAATTTTTTAAATTATTTTTTCCATAATTGTATTTTGGGGATTTTGATCTTTTCCAGGCTGTGGTTTTTGGGATTTCAGACTTTAGGGATTTTGATCTTTTGGAATTTCAACAGTTTGGGAGCATGATGTTCTGGGCTGTCTTTTGGGATTATGATTGGCTCCCCTTCTTTTGGGTACATAACATTACAACCTAAGTATTTTGTCATGTTGTTGTATAATTCTTTGTAAAGATCATTACTGCCTATAGAATATACTGCTAGGTAGCTGTGCCACAATTTATTTAGCTTTTTTCCTATTATTAAACACACTTGCCTTAGGTTCTGGCTCTGAGTCCCTTACCTACGCTGTCACTTCTTGTCATTGAATAACCAACAATTACGTGTTCTTTTTAGAAGTAATCGCTTCTCTTTTCTCACCCATATTCTGCTACTATAGAAAAGTGGATTTTTTTCCAAGACCTCCTTGAATTCCTAGGGTTTCACAGAGACTTGGAAAAGCCAAATAACTTTGCAAAGGGGCATGAAGGAACTTCTTGGAGTGACAAAAATGTTCTATGACTTGCTTGTGGTGGTTATTACACAGATATATATATTAGAAAGAATATATCTAATCTAACAAGGACCATTTAAATACTAAGCATACATACCCACCTTTACATAAATACACACACCTGTACAACTGTAAGTATAACAGTTAACACAAGTTCACAGAGTAGAAAATAACTTTTGACTCCCCTATTTATTCTGACTTTAATCAAATATCATTAATTACTTTAAAAACAAAGAACATTTTGAACTAGGGTCAAGATAAAGGTTTGTCAAGTGAAAAGGGCTCTCCTAAATTCTGTGCCAAAATTTATAATAAAATTCTGCTACAGAAGCAAAAAGATACTGAATTCATTTAATTGTTCTAACTCAGCAAAACTAAATAGATTCTTGGGTACCAATTCTGTACATACCTGACTACTGAGTATGAAATGCTAGCAAGTTGGTCCTTTTAAGAGCAATGAAATTAACCTTTTAACTATAATAAAGAGCAATGAGCTTTTTTTGTTTTGTTTTAAGACAGGATCTTGCTCTGTCACCCAGGCTGAAATGCAATCTCACTTTGCAGCCTTGACCTCCTAGGCTCAAGTAGTCCTCCCAATTCAGCCTCCCAAGTAGCTGGGGTTATAGGAATGTATCGCCACACCAAGCTGTTTTTTAATTTTCTCATAGAGATGAGGTATCATTATGTTGCCCAGGCTGGTCTCAAACTCTTGGGATCAAGCGATCCTCCAGCTTTGGCCTCTCAAAGTGCTAAGATTACAGGTGTGAGCCACCACACCCGGCCTTGAAATGAGCATTTTAAGATAACATCTAAAACTTTATACAATTCCTTTGCTAATCAAATTATACAAAACATTTACAATCCTTGGCATTCTAACTAAAATGATTATCCAATCTGCTCTAATTATATTATGATAAAAGAATTCTCCCAAAATTTACAAATTCAAATTTCTATTAGTTAATATTTCATTCGAGACAAATGCAATCACACTGCAGAATACATAATTTCTCCATTGTCAAGTGGCTGCATTAAGACCGTAAGTTTTGCAACTTATGATCTCACACACTGCTAGATCCACAAAGGTGCTTTTTTGCATCACAATCATAAACAGAATGGATGCAAACCAACCTTGATAAGAAGTAGTTGACAGCGAAGGTACGTGGCAGAGAAATCAGCTACTCCTGCCAATTCGGACTGAAGTTCTCCAAGTCTTTGCAGATCCCTATGGTAAATAAAACCCGAAGCCAAACATAGGATAACAATAATGCCACCAACATAAAGATCATGTCAAAAGCATTTTACCATTTTATAACTAGTAAACTGGTCATAATTTTTTTCTTTTTTTGAGACAGAGTCTCACACTGTCACTCACTGCAACCTCTGCCTCTCGAGTTCAAGTGATTTTCCTGCCTCAACCTGTAGCTGGGATTATAGGCGCCTGCCACCACGCCCAACTAATTTTTTGTATTTTTAGTAGAGATGAGGTTTCACCATATTGACCAGGCTGGTCTCGAACTCCTGACCTCAGGTGATCTGCCCGTCTCAGCCTCCCAAAGTGCTAAGGTTACAGGCGTGAGCCACCATGCCTGGCCACTGGTCATAAATTTTTAAATGACAACACTGAATCCTGGAGTGGTTATAATAAAATTGGTTCACTCACACTTTGATAGTAGTTTAAGCTGATGTAACCCTTTTGGAAAGCAAAACCATACTGTTATAAAGCCATATCTGTGGTAAAATAGTTTGACTGATAGCTTTATGCGGAAAAGTAATACTAAGAGAAACATTCAACAAAAATGAAATGCTTTATGCCCCATAATACTCATTGTTATGGGGACTATTACAGTAAAAACTCAGTAACTACTTATTAATGGTGAAAGAACTGTTGAATAAATTACAGTACATCCAATCCAGTAATTTTTTTTTTCTTGAGACAGAATCTTGCTCTGTCACCCAGGCTGAAGGGCAGCGGCTCAATCTCGGCTTACTGCAACCTCTGTGTTCCAGGTTCAAGCTATTCTCCTGCCTCAGCCTCCCAAGTAGCTGGGATTACAGGCACACACCACCATGCCCGGCTAATTTTTGTATTTTTGGTAGAGACAGGGTTTAACCACGTTGGTGAGGCCGTCGTCAAACTCCTGACCTCGTGATCTGCCTGCCTCAGCCTCCCAAAGTGCTGGGATTACAGGCGTCAGCCACTGAGACTGACCTATGTAAATATTTTATAGCCATTAAAATACAAAATGGTTAATAAGGTGTATGATCGCAACTATGTAAAAACTATATAGAGGAGAAAAATACATTGAGGTGGTTTTCTGGATAGCGGTAATAGGATGTTCGTTAGTACCTTCTCCCAACTATGCTTTCTTTTCCAAGTTTTTAAGACGGTGAACAAGTATTTTTTTGTATCAGAAAAAGAAAAACCATTATTTTTTAAAAAGGTATTATGGTAGACACTGTTGGTTGCCTGTCCAGTTAGCCATTCTCCACTTCTTTATTACTAACTGAACTCTGATTTTGTTCAAAGGAACATGTCCACAAACTCAATTCCAGGTAGTATCTGATTGAACTAGGCCAATTAGTGCACTTTATCCACCTGGATATGTGACCTGAGTTGAACTTATCAGTTTAGATGCAAGGACTTATATTCCATGCTTAGAACAAATTGGTGTGTCTGTCTATCTCTTGCTAAACTGGACAAGGATGCTTATAGCCCTGACTGCCGTTGGCAGCACACTGCAACTTTAAGGGGAAAAAACCTTAAGATAAAGCCAATGCTGAAGACAAGAAAAGTCCAAAGAGAAAGAGAGAAACTGGGTCCTCAATTATAGAAATAAGCCACTTAATTATACCGTATCTCCAATTTCGGGTGATCTGCAAATTTATCTTAGTCATTTAGCTGCTATAACAAAATATCATAGACTGAGTGGCTTATAAACAACCGAAATTTATTTCTCACAGTTATATAGGCTGGGAAGTCCAATAACAAGGCACCTACAGATTTGGTTTCTAGTTAGGGCCCATTTCCTCATAGGTAGCATCTTCTATATGCACCTTCATATGGTGAAGTCATAAACAAGCTCCCTTTGGCCTCTTTTATATGGGCATTAATCTCATTCATGAGGGTTCTACTCTCATGACCTAATCACCTCCCGAAGACCTCACTTCCTAATAACATCACCTTGGGGGTTAGGATTTCAGTATATGAATCTGGGGGAGATATAAACTCTCAGATCATAGCAGGAAATAAATAGCCATTATAAGTTAACTTGTGAAAAGCATCCTAACTGGATGTAAGTATAGACACAATGATTGTAACCCTATGAAAACATATCTGCCTTGAGTAAGAAATCAGAGGCTGGACGCAGTGGCTCATGCTTGTAATCCCAGCATTTTGGGAGGTGGAGGTGGGCAGATCATGAAGTCAGAAGATCAAGACCAACCCAAGTAACACGGTGAAACCCTATCTCTACTAAAAATACAAAAAATTAGCATGGTGGTGGGTACCTGTAGTCCCAATTACTCGGGAGGCTGAGGCAGGAGAATCGCTTGAACCCAGGAGGTGGAGGTTGCAGTGAGCCAAGATCGCACCACTGCACTCCAGCCTGAGACGGAGTGAGACTCCGTCTCAAAAAAAAGAAGAGGGGAGGGAGGGGAGAAGAGGGGAGGGGAGAGGAGAAGAAGGGAAGGGAGGGGAGGGCAGGGGAGGGGAGGGGAGGAGAGGAGAGGAGGGGAGAGAATTAGAAAGTGTCATACACAAATAAAATAGCTGTGCTGGGATTACTGGTGATTTAAAACATTTAGTTTTTTGAATAATACATACTTAAGGTATAGAATTCAAAGGATATACAATTAAAAATTAATCCCCCTTCTACACCTGTGCCCTGTAGCCCTGCCACCCTGTACACCTTCCCAGAGGCAAATATTATTACCAGTTCAGTTTCTTTTGAATTCTTCCTGAGATATGCCATGCATTTACAGAAAGTATTGGTTTTCTTTGCTTTCTTCTTTTTTAGGGGAGGAGTGTGTGTGTGTGTGTGTGTGTGTGTGTGTGTGTGTGTGTGTACACTACCTAACCAACTCAGCATTCGTAGAAAGCTGCCTCAGTACTTTTTAATAGCAATATTAAATTCTGTATAGAAATGGTAATTGTGGGAAACCTTAAGGTTTGAGTCACTTGGGAAGCTGTCTGTTTCAGGGCTGGCATAACACATCAGGTTTCAGAGTAGCCTGGACAAAACTGTCCATTGGACTATGCCACTTCCTCTCATCTCATGCTCAGTGGGCAACATCATGATGTTTAATGCTGCCTCCTAGGGACTTTGATATCAAGAAGGAAATGCCTACAAAAAGGCACAGAGCAAATTACTCTCAAAGTGATTGAAGAATTAATGTATGACATATATCACTTCTTATGAGTTTGGGTTGCTTGAGTTCATCCTGGAGAGCCTACCCAAAGCATGAAAACCCAGCACGATGAAAGTCAAGACCATGGACTAGCTAAGCTCAACTGTGAAATGGGAGTTTGGTGGCCAGCTGGTGTCTTCCTTTCACTTCTCTCATTTTTCTCTTACAAGAGACAACTCTGAAGCATTGTACTTCAGAAGCGTTTCCTCTCCAGTAAGATTCTGTCTTCTGTGACAATTATACAGAATACGGACCGACTGACTGTACATTAACTGATTCCAAGTGTTATTTTATGTTACTGCCCTAGAATTGTAGCAGTTGTTCTGAGGCGCACAGAACAAGATGCAACCCAATCCAACACAATCAGCCATAAGACTTCTGAACTTCTATACAAAGAAAAATGGAATCTTGTTAGCTTTTGGAAAAATCCTCTCTGTCCCAGTGTTTCCTCTTATCTCCTTATGCTCAGAATTCTCAGGCAGCCTCAGTCTAGACATCCATCAGGAGATTAGGGACTCTAATGAGAAAAGTATACCAAGCACATTCTATGTGCACTGTACTGTGCTAGGTGTTTCCTTACTTGAGCTCACTTAATCCTCACAATATGAACTGCAATTAATCCTATTTCACTGAACAGGAAACTAAAGATCAGAATTTAAGTGGTTTGCCTAAGGTCATAGAATAAACAACAAAACAGGACATGAACTAAACAGAGTCAGCTCTGACTCCAAAAGTATTTTTTTAACCATATAATATTGCATCTCCTTTTTTATTTGCTATTAAACTCTCTTCATTTATTTATTAACTTACATCAAATAGAGATGAGACCAAGACTAATTTAAAACTAGATACGGCCAGCTGTGGTGGCTCACACCTGTAATCCCAGCACTTTGGGAGGCTGAGGTGGGCGGTTTGCCTGAGCTCAGGAGTTTGAAACCAACCTGGGTAACACAGTGAAACCTCGTCTCTACTAAAACACAAAAAATTAGCCAGGCGTGGCAAACTGCACCTGTAGTCCCAGCTACTAGGGTGGCTGAGGCAGGAGAATTGCTTGAACCCAGGAGGTGGAAGTTGTAGTGAACCGAGATCATGCCACTGCACTCCAGCCTGGGTGACAGAGGGCAAGACACCATCTTCAAAAAAAAAAAAAAATAGATATACTGGGCCATTTTTCTATAGAGGCTCTCTGGCACAGCCAAACAGTTCCTCCCAGGAACACATAGATTAACAATCTATATGATGTCACTATGTGTAAACATACTTACATAGAGTGTGATTCTTTTTAAGCTTACACAATAGGCTGAATTAATTTTTTAAATCACTATTAAAGATAGTCAAATAGACTCTGGATGTGTAAATCAAATGTAGTTTATTATTTCAATCTCTAACAATCTCTAAACATCAAATTTATAATTAATGTCTCTTAGCAGCTTGGTAGAGCAAAAAGGAATGTTAGGAAATACAAATAAATGCAGTCTTGGTGACTTCTAAAACACCATCTTCATTCTTGCACCTAGATGGCTACGGATTGCAAATGTATATTTCTACTCTTTAATTACTAGACCAGTTCCCATACTACAAATGAGAATGTCTCCCTTAGAGACATTTAAAGTTTCAAAGCAAAAGCAGATTTTAAAGAATTCAACTAAAAAAAATCCCATGGTCTTCAATGGTTAGTGTGTAAAGAATTCTCATAAGCAACGTAGTACATTTCTTTCTATCTCAGATAAATGAAGCCCCTTCTGTTTCAGATTAAAATGAGCTATTTTACTCCAAAAGAACAATTCTCTATTATGGAACACTTCTAAGGTGATA